GGGCATTGGAGTCCACAGGTCTTCAAGTTGCCAGCTTTGGAGACGATCTAGTTAGCCATTTGTCTGAAATGGTATAGGGTTTCCTGCCTAGACAGGGGGTTGGACTAGAAGACCTCCAAGGTCCCTTCCAACTCTGCTATTGTATTGTATTAAGATGTCAGTATCTTGACCCCAACAATCTGGGTCTTCATTTTACCAACCTTGGAAGGATGAAAGGATGAGTCAACCTTGAGCCAATCAGGATTGAACTCCAGACTGTGGGCAGAGTTAGCCTGCAATACTGAATTCTGACCACTGAACCACCAGGGTTTCAATACCTATTTTTCATAGGGATGCCTCCCTTGAAAAGCTGAACTGTGGGGGTGGGGGTTTTCTTTCATTTTTTACAGGTTCAAAGGTTGATTGGTGAAGTGCTGGCCTTCCTTCTTTCCCTTCCTCCCAAATAAAATTGACAAGATTTTGCTAAGTTTCTTGTTTTAGCCCAAGTGGCTAGAAGAGCCATAAAAGCAATTTCGGTAACTCATGCTTTCCTGGGATTGGTAGGAGGATGAAACAGGGAAATCCACTGATGAGAGGTTCTTTTAACAATGGCCAAGACAGAATCAAGTCTATGACTGTGGCCAAAATGAGAAAAGAATATGAAATCCAGAGAACGATTTCTTAAACCATCTGTTTATGTATGAGAGAGAAAAACAGCTGAAGGAAGCAACCCTTAAGCCTGCACTGACTGCTCAATAAAAATGTGGAGCAAGCAGGGAAAATTCCATTTATCATAAAGGATAATCATTCTTTGCTGTCCCTGCCAGCTTACTTCCATAGTGATGGGGTTCTGTTTTTAAGTGACCCTTTGTATGGCGACCATTGGAAATTTGAAAGCATTCAGTGCATTATCAGGAATCTTTGTCCCAGTTTGCTGATCTGCAAAAAGACAAGCTGTGACTGATTTCCTCTGTCTTGACTTATTAAATTTATCTTGTCCTTACAGTCCGTGAAAAAGGAAGCCTAGGAAGATTCTGGCCAGCCATTTTCACATAGCTTATCTTGTTGCACCTGAAATTGTTTGTTATACATCTTTTGCAAATATGCTTCTTTCTTTTCTTTCCCCTTTTTTAGAGTTAGCCATTTCCCTACTTTTGTGTTACAGAACCGGTTCCTTTCTTCTTTTCTGAACCCAGTTCTGCAGGAAGTCTGACTGCACTTAAGATGAGCTTCTTTGGCCTTGCTCCTGCACGTACAGTTCACCAGACCCTTAATATGTACACATTTGCAACAAGGCAGGCAGAATTTGCTTTCCCAAATAGACTCATTTATCCCAGGGTAGGACAACTTTCTGTAGTCGGGCTGGGTGATTATGGGTGGGTTGAAGTTCAACCCACTTGGATGGCATCTGTTTGAGGAAAGCTGATGTGGGTAATTGGGGAGATGTTCGGTAGACCAGTCATTTTCTCAGCAGTTCCTTCAGTGCGACTGAAGACTAATTGGTTTGAGCCTTATGAGTTAATGGCAAGGTCTGGATAAATTTTCAGTTTTTGCTAGAGAAATGGCAGCTGGCAAAGCCATGTCCTTTGTCTCTGCAATTTGTTAGTCAGTGCTCTCCAGCTGGTAGGAGAAAGGTTGCCACGCTTCACTGTCAAGTAACTGCAGCTAGGGCAATCTGTCATCTCTGCTCGTTTGCCACTGCCGTTACTCAGGCAGCATAGTGATCACAGTCTTAATAAGAGGCTCAGAAAACCTCTCCAGGGCTCAGTAACAGGAACTAACCTCAGTGAATTTGCACCCATATTGTTAAATAAGGGTTTAGTGTTATATGGGGAAAGCCTCATTGCTTATTTTGCAGAGGCTGCCTATCAGTCATTGGGGTATCTGAGATACATCTAACTTGGGCTCCTTATTGCTGGGCTCAGAATCCGGTACCAACACTGACAGCACTCTGATTTGTGGACTTTAGCTTCTGAAATTTTCTGTAGACAGCATTGCCACTGGAATAAATTCCTACAACTGAAGTCCCTCACCCCAATTTGAAAGATGCCCAAGTTGGAGAAGATTTATTTATTTAGGCAAAAGTTAATGATATGTCTGAACAAACCATAGTTTCTGCTCAGTAAACTTTTTTTAGAGCATTTATATAGAAGGGGTCGCTTCTACTGTTCTCCATCTCATTGCCCCACCGGAAATAGGATGGGACTTAAAGCTTACAAAGCTTTGATTCAGAGCATGTCCACAATTTGGTGTTATCTAGATGTGTTGGAAATCAATACGTCCACTGGTCAGGTGGGCTGTGAATTCTGGAAATGATAATTCAGCACATCTGAAGGACAAGGCCTTCAGCTGGCAATATTTTACATTATGTGTAAAATAAGCGGGAGGGGGGAGGGAGAGGGAGAGAGAAAGAAACATTGAGTACTACTAGGTTATGCCACTGAAGGAGCAGAGCAAAAGAGGAAGGAGAGAAGTAAAACAGCTGGATAGTTTTGCAATAGCCTTGAGACTAGGGAAATAGCCTTGAGACTAGGGAGATCCAAATTCAAGTCTGCCCTTAGCTATGGAAGTTCATTAAGTGACTTTGGGGCAGGTATTATCTCAGCTTAGCCTACCTTAAAGGGTTGCTATTGTGAGTATAAAGTTGGGGAAGGAGAAATACTATAGGGATAATAGTTGTCTTGAGCTTCTGGAGAAACCATAGCTTAGGAATATAATAAACCTAAAGGCAGGGGTTCCTAGTAGCTAGCTGCAGAGACTGCCACCTACCAGGTAGTACCTATCTACCAGTACAGGGGTGTCAAACTCTATTTCATTGAGGGATGCATCAGGGTTGTGTTTGGCCTCAGAGGTCTGAGTGTGGCCAGAGTGGGTGTGGCCGATGTCAGTCATGTCGGGGGCGTCTGTGGCAGCCCAAGCACTCTGCCAGAGAAAATGGGCTCCTGGGCTTCGTTTCTGGCTGCAATGGCTCCTGCAACCTTCTGTCAGCAAGAGCTTGGGAGGCGCTTTCACTGGCAGAGGGTTGCAGGAGGCCATCACAGCCAGAAACGGAGCTCGGGAGCCTGTTTTCATTGACAGAGGCACTGCAGGCCGCTCCCTCACTGTTTCCAGGGTGGCCCCATTGGCCAGATCTAAACACCCCACGGGCCGGATGCGGCCCACAGGCCTTGAGTTTGACACCCCTGTACTAGTACTTCATATCTATTGATTAAAATTGACCATTAGAAGAAAACAATTGTTCAGTCAGTTCCAGTGCAATACTATTTACTGGACCAATCCTGCAAATAAATAAAAGGGATGGAAGACACTCCCACTGACTGTAGATATTCCTTTTTTTTCCAGTTGCCTCCCATTCAATTGAATATATGAGCAGAGGCAGCCAGAGAGAAAACTCTTTAACTGTTGAACATTCCAGGAGAGGGGGAGAAAACCTCAGTCAAGTTCTATAAATATTGTCAAGGAAACTGTATCAATGAAAGGAGGGAATTAGTCACTGTCTCTGTAGCTGTGGCCCCATGCCAAGGAAATTTAGAAGGTATCATTGTTGCTCTCAAGGGAGACGCTAGAGGGGGGGGATTCAGGCCCTATTGTAGAGATCATCTTCCCCCACCCCGTATACATAAGGATTAGGGGTGCTTCTTGCAAGGGTTTCCTACAGTGCAATTTATTGGGAAGATGGAAGTGCCATTGCAGCATCTAATCTACTTTTTCTTCTTTAAGACATCCATCAAAGAGGGGAATACAGAATAGCTGAATGGTTTAATGGGACTGGCAACATTAATTCCCTGCTGTGTGCAAAATGCCCAGCATTGCTAACTTACCTTCTAGAGCCGAGACTTTTTGTCAAGGTCATGCAATACAAGATTGTGTATTAAGCATTGACACGCAGGCAGATTCTACAATTATCATATCTCTGTGCTGCATGTGATCTCAGGCGATCTTTGCAAAGAAGGGGAATCTGGAAGGGTGAGTGCTCATGATCAAAAACAGGTCTCAGGGCACCATGGCCAGAAGAGTCTCCTTCCTCGTTCCTCATATAATTGCACACTGGGAGATGTTATTGATCCAATAAGGGAACTTCACTTCTGGATTTCTGTTGCAGGTGATGAGTTCCTGGTTTAACTAATTCACTTAACAAATGTGGCAACAAAAGTCATAAAATGGGGCAAAACTCACTTAACAACTTTCTCATTTAGCAACATAAATTTTGGGCTCAATTATAGTTGTCAATTGAGGACCTATAATTCACGTTTGATAATTCACCATTTTGCAACTGCCATTTTAGGATAGCACCCATGACATGCTCTTGGGATGTTAGAGATGCCTATTGGTTCAAAAGAAGTTGACAATCTCTGATTTATAGTCTTGAATTATACGTGATCTTATTGCTGACTGTTTATTACTTCAGTGCTTTGTGCAAAACAAACCAGCCCGGGGTTGTGATAATGCATTAGTTGAGAAGTGGGGGGGGGGGATTATGCAAGGTGTTATGGAGTGAAAAGAGCAAAAGTGATATTTGTGGAAATTAATACTGCTTTTTTGTTTTATACTGTTTTTCATGTTCATCTTGCATTAGTATATTAACATATTTAACTGTGTTCACCCCCAGAGTGACTTATGTGAGATATGCAGCCATATATATTGAATAACATAAATAAATTATAAGTTTACATCTGTTTTATTTATTTATTTTTCAGGATGGGAGCATTTACATTACATTCCAAAACTGGGAAACCTATGCCATCTGTCTCCAATGGGTAAGTCATTAAGTTCTCCTACAGATTAGAAAACAGAGGACTGGTGCATTCCACCCCTTCAAATTATCAATATAAACTGCATGAGGAGCTAAAGTCTTTCTTACTGAATTATGAGATATTCACTTAATTTTTCTTTTAAAAAGATCCTACAGTGTTATCCTGAGACTAACATTAATATTAATAAAAAATAAAGTAATCTAATTTTGCTGATGGAATGCTTCAATTATGCTTTAATGGAGAATTTACACACAACAACATAATGTAATAGAACTCAGTTATCATCAATGTGGTCAAGTCCACAACTGTTCAGATGTGATCTTGGCAAGCTCAGCCTATTATTGTTAGCTCTTTCTATCATTCTTTTCATTTTTAGTGAGAACTCAACAACTCTTGTCTCATTTGTTCTTATAACTCAATTGATAAACTGTGGAGAGAACCATTCCTATTTAATATTCAAAGCAGGTAATGTCAAATCTGTTGGGCTTCTTCTCCTTCCTGAATATATAACATCCAGTGTGGTTCTTTATTGAGCTTGGATCTTGAATATTGCATCATCTGTATTTAAATATGTATGTTCACAAAATTGTCTGGATAATCACGCATATTTGGCAAATAGGTGAATTGTTAAGCATGTGGCCAGTTCTAGATATGTGTTGTCTAAAATAAATTTCAGAGGTGAGCATTTTTGCCAGACAATAACATTAACAAAATATCTTCTAAGGTTGATTTAGAATTCCTTGTGGTCTTGAATTGTTCTTTTGTTAAATGTGCAAGAAAGTTGAAATATAGTAAACAAACATGGATATTTCTTGAATCTTTCTTCTAAGGAAAAAGCCAGATATGGGCTGCTGGAAGGTCTACAACAAATCACCATGGCCAGCCAACCTGCAGTGGCCAACTCGGCATGGGACAATTTGTTGCTGACAAATTCAATGCAGACAAGAGTTACATTAATGTTGAAGAAATAGTGGAATAGAATCATTAAAGAAAGGAGGGCAAGGAAGGGACATAATAAAATGTGAATGATGAAAATTAAAATAATGTATTAGTTATTTTAAATAATTACATTGAATTGTTTAATTGTCATGCAACGAGTTGTCCCATGGTGACCTGGCTGTGGTGAATTGGCCGTGGTGAGTTGACTGTGGCGAGTTGACTGTGGCTGCGTTATCCCATTCTGATTAGAAGTCATCCCTGCTGATATGTGTGGATAGGCTGATTGATACTGGCTTCCCTTCAAATATATAATATGTCCAACTACATCCATACAACTGTATGACAGTGTTTTCTATGATATGGAAATACAGTATAACACAAGCTTAGCATGCACACAGACACCAAAGTCACCAGACGAGTGGCAACCCTATAATATGAATGAATGAGCAAAAAGGCTCTTCCCATCTTTCTGAGGAACTTTGAATGGGACAGCTCCAGATTAAAAGATTGCCGTTTAAAGAAAAGTGGTGGTGAAAAGAAACATAGATGAAACACAAGACAGAAAGTAAACAATAACAACCTTTTGGTCTCCGGATGCGCTTCAAGGCGCTAGTCATCACTTATAAAGCCCTTCATGGTATTGGACCTGGGTACTTGAGA